AAACAAACAAACAAACAAACAAACAAAACTCTACTTGAGCCTGAAGCCCTGGCTTCACACCTCACCCAGTTTAATTTTAAAAGAACCGACTTTACATATCCAAAGCATGTTTGTTCTGAATTCAAAGAAAGAACGGTGGTGACTTTGTGCACATCTAAAAGGCCACCCCACAAAAAGTTCCAGTGACACATTTTAAGGTGGCATCATTGTGGGACACGAACAGCTAAGGCACTTATCTTGGAAAATGTGTGGAGGATCAGTTAAAAGGTCACAGGGAGAGACATGGAAAACGAGGCACAGGCCTCCATTGGAGACAGCCACCCACACCCCACATCCCCATCCCCCGCCGCTAAGGTCTCCCAGAGGAAGGAGCCATTCCCTATGTCCATGGAATGTGATTTTCACAGAGGAAGACAGAGGGTACAATCCCACAATCCTTCAATCTAAGAAAGTCTTAAGCAAGAACTCAAACCCCACTGATCTCTCAAAGAACACAGCAATGGTGGACACAGAGGGGAAAGAAACCGTGACACTCTCTGTGCAGAAACTGCAAAATGCCTGTCTGGTCCCTGCCCTGTTCCCAGGGCCCAGAACATCTTAGGAACAGACAACATGCACACCAGCTGAAAACAAGTATGGAAGGGGAGCTTGCTGGGCTCTCGGATGAAAAGGACACAAATGGTGAAGTCAAGCAGTGAAAACATAGGATTTCCTGGGGAAGACAAGGCATGGGAAGCTTTCTGGGCAAAGAGCAGAAGCAAAGCATGGACAAGGAATGGGAGTCACTTCATGGGAAGCTAGTGCACTGGGAGGAGGGAAGAGGGATAGACAGGATCAAGTAGCCAGTGAACCTTTCAAGAAGGTGTGTGTGTGGAGGTGGTGGGGGGGGGCAGTTGTGCAGAGGACACAGGAAACAGAGAGAATGAATAAGGAAGGCCACCGGGAAATCTGGAAGAGGGAAATGACATGTTTGACGACAACAGTCCCTCAGAGGCAGAGCCGAGGACTAGGAAAGGGGGGAAGCCTGGGGGGAGAAGCAGAGAGCGATCTAGAGAGTGGGAGAGGCAGATGGATACATGGCAGACGGGCAGGGATCATTTGGGAAGCCAGAGAGGACCAGTCACAAGGCTTCCTCTGTGGTGCTGCTCACATTGAGCACTCACAGTTAGAAGCAAGCCTTTCTGGTCGGTTCTTTCAACCAGCTCCAAAGCAGTATTCAGCTGCATTAGAGCTGCATGTTCCCTTTGCTTAAGCTCTTCCTAAAGGACTGGATGTATGTAGATGGCTCCCAAGGTCTTGAAAATTCAGTTTTACTTTTCTGTGTGCATGGGTGTGTGCAGGAGGGTGTGCATGGATGTGTGCTTGAGTGTAAAGACCAGAGGTCCTAAAAAAAACTCAAAGTGATGTCCTTCACATGTACGTGTTTGCATGCATGCATGTATGCTAGGGTGTACCTGCACCATCCTGAACCGCTCGCTGCATTACTTTCTGAGGCAGGGTGTCTGACTAAACACAGGGTCTTCCAATTTGCCTGTACTGGTAGTCCCACAAGCCCCAGGGATCCTTGTGTCTCTAGCCTCACCTCTCTGGGGTTATAAGGCAAACGTTGCCATGCCTGGAATACACATGGCTGCTAGGGATATTTATTCACTAGAGTACTAACTGGGGAACTCATGCCTGCTCAGCAAAAACAGACTTAGCTTCTCGATGGCATCCTGAAAACATTTAATTTACTATGGCACACTGAGCACTTTAGTTAAGGCATCCGAATCAGATCTCAGGAGAGATATTTCATAGTGTATTTTAATGAGAGCATCAAAAAGAATTCCTATTGAAGGGCTGCTTCAACTCCTAAGTATATAGATGTCACTTAGGACCTGGAGCTTCAGCAATGGTACAACTTCTGGCTCTAAGCTCCAATTCAAAGAGGGTTAACCCTCTACCAGCATTTTCATTCCCCACATCAGTTGGGGAGCTGTTGAAACACATGACCACCCATACTCAAGTGCAATGCTAATGTCAGAAGACTGCAAAACACTCAACATGAAAGAAAACTAAAACTGCCCTTGCCCTTTTGCTTATTTCACTGACCTGTCCAATCAAAGCAAGTCAAAGAACACCAGAAGGATCCTCAGACTTGCTAATTTCCATCGAAGTGTCACTAGAGGTGACACTGCAATGCAGTGTGCTCCTTTCTAAGCAAATTTCCAGTCACCAGCTCTCGTGTTAGAACACTGTCTCCAACACTGTCATCAGTTTCCCAGGCTAAACAAACCTTAGCATTTCTCCTATGTGTGGGGAGACTATTCCAAAGAGAATGTGATCACGGTTTTCAAAACTAATTACTTCTCCCACAAACTGAGAAAGGGCCAATCTGTCTTCTGCTTTTATAGACACATGGTGGGACATAAGGGTGTGTTCTGTCAACAAGTGCAATCTACCAGACCTTCACAAATGTGTTGCATAAATCTTTAGCGTTTTCCATCTTGGTTTCATGATCCTCTATAGCTTTCTGTAAAATCTTCATCTGTTGCTGAGCTGTAAGCTGAAATAGAGAAAATCAATGACAAAATGTCACTAAAACTGAACATCGAACCCTGCTTACGGGAATTGCTTCCCGTGATGTTTTTGTATTCTGACATTCATGAGGAACAAGTTTGAAGACACGGCCTTCAATGTCAAAAGCAACATAACAAGGTCTGACCAATCACAGAGTGAGATAGTCTTGTCAAGCCTGTGCAAAAATCCTATGAAATAATCATTTTGAAATTAACAATAAGACCCACCTAATCTGTGGCTTCCCACCTCACCAAAATTAAGTACAAAACATTCCTTTGTTTCCATAAAATATTTTTTAATAAGATGAGGACACATTAGCTTCCAAGGAAACCCTTCTTTCCAAGAAAAAAAGTAGGAAAGAAAGAAAGAAAGATAGAAAGAAAGAAAGGAAGGAAGGAAGGAAGGAAGGAAGGAAGGAAGGGGAAGGAAAAAGAAAGGAAGGAAGGAAGAAAGAAAGAAAGGAAGGAAGGAAGGAAGGAAGGAAGGAAGGAAGGAAGAGTTCTGACCTAATCTTCCTCATCAATCAGTCATTCCCCAGATTGTGACATTCCATCAACTACATTATCAACCAAATAAGAAGGGCAGGGAACACAAGTGCCAAACATACATCAGCTCAAGAGGTCAAACATTCCATAGAAACATGTCAAAAAACATGAAACCACTCAATACACAAAATGTAGAAAGGTAGGTATTCTTCACAGGTCTGCTTTGACTGCTAGGAAACTGAGGCAGGGAGGTTAATTATTGTCCTGAGCTTTCACAACAAGCAAGTGTCAGGACTATGGCTGCATCCCAATCAGTGGGTCCAGAGGACATGCTTCTCTCTGGCAGACTGAAATCTGTCTCCATCTCCCTCTGATACCAGGCGCTGCTTCCCCACCTTTGGAAGGCAGGGCCCTTGGGAGTATAGCTCTGTCCTCCATCAGGATGAAAGATCCCCAAAGACAGCACTGCTGGGTGTCCATGAATGCTAAGCCTCCACCTGCTCTGTCACAGCCACACTGACTGCTCTCACTCTGCCTCCCTGATCCCTGTGTCAGAAGGCTATTTGGGACCTTCCCCTCCCACCTCCACCCCATCCTGCACTGTTTGGCATCTGTACCTTGTGGATCACGAAGGGCTCCCTCTGAACATACAAGCCTGTGCCTTCTCCTGCACTCTCCAGGCAGTGCCTGCTCAGCCTTCCTCCCATGCTGGCTCCTAACCCATGACCATACCACCCCTCCACAGAAAAAGAAGCAAGCCAGAGAGGACGGCTAGTCTCTCCAGGCCGCATCCACCACACTCCTTGACTCCCCATGTTCATGTCCTGTCCTGTCCTGTTCTGTCCTGTCCCTTTCCCTAGGGGCCTGCTGCACTGAAGCCCTGCCACTTAGGAAAGGGACACAGGGAATCTATTCCAAGCTGAGAGCGACATGACACTCACGTTGAGGTGTTCTTCTTGCTCCCTTGTTCTCCCCACCTCGTCCAGCCACTTCTGATACAGGGACTCAAACATCTGTGAGTGGATGGAGTGAAGTTCCTGCCTGTAAAACACAGTAACAATTCCTGAGCACTGTCACACTGGTCACACTGTGTGAGGCTAAGGCAATGACACACCACACACACACAATCATTTTGAAACAGGAGCCAGTAGCAAAAGAGAAAGGGGGCATGACTTAAACTGTCTCTTGAGAGGCAGAAGAAATGTGGCTCTCATGCCAGAAGGATTTTGTTTTAACTTGCTACTACTGATGTCATTTCACGTGTCTTCCCTCTCAAACACCTAGGATGCTCTGATGCACACCTTTCCCAAGATTGCATTTCTGGCTTAAAATTAGACTCAAGCTTCGCTTCCCCTTATGGAATAACCTATAGATTCTGGGAGCCAAAGTCCATGTTGTGAAGGCAACATACCCTTCATCCAATGGCACTTGCACACACGAAGAGCACACAGAACCCTTTCCCCACATGGGCACAACAATTTACCAAAGAGAGTGCTGATGGTACCTCCTAATAGGTACAGTTTTGCAGACCATAGAAGACTGTCCTTCCCTTACAGGAAATTATCTGTCTTTCTATCTCACAGGGGAGAAACTGTACTCTTGCCCATCTTGCTGCTAACATATCATATCTCAGCTATATAAAAGGGGGGTTCTGCCAGCTATGAACAGGACTAGCTCACAGAGAAAATGCACTGCAACGTAGGTCCCATTAGCAATTCCACTCTGTGCAGGATCACCATAGCAGGCAGGAGTGACTTTGGAATGAAGAGTAAAAGCGGGACATACAGGCCTCATTTTACAGAGGGTCAGAACTTTACCGTGACTTCTTCTGGGTTTTGAAAATACTCTGGAGGTTTTCGTTCAGGCTTCTGAAAGAGGCATTTATATCCTTTCCAAACTGCTTCCTCTTCGCCAGAAGGGACTGGGTAATGCCACCTATTTGAGAAAGGAAATGGTATCACTTTAAATCAAATATCCGGAGGAAGAGGCACTCTTTCCTCCCTGACGCATCACCTACACAGTTGTAGGAGTTATCTATAGATCCTGTGTCCTTTTTGCTCTTTGCTGTTTTATTTTTATTTTTTAATTTTAGACCAGGTCTCAAGTAGCCCAGGCTGGTCTCAAACCTGAGAGGCAAGTGAGGGCGACCTCCGGTCCCCGGTTCCCTGCCTCCACTTCCTACTTGCTAGGAATACAGGCGTGGTGGCCATCGTGCTTTGACGAGTAACCCCACCACTGACAAACCATTTTCTGGACACCTCAGAGCCCAAGCAGCAGTTCCTCTGTACCAGAAGGAGCAATGCTGTCAGACGTCAGACATCCTGGGTTGTATGAATTGACTCTATACACTGGCTAAGAATTGACGACGTCTCTCTAGTAATGCTCTTTTAAGGGCCAACTACACAAGTGAATAAAAGCTACCTCATCTTGGGGATGGCATGTGGTACACTGACTTGGTTACCATTGATGACAGAGAACGAGCTCGTGTGGCATGCATGATGTTTGCACGCTATCACACACACTTTTCTTCCTGTTCCAGACCATGGCTGCCTTCGGGATTCCCTGACAGGCTCATGAATGCATATACAGCCTTCAGGCAGTATTCCATGCCCTCTTTGGCAGGGCTTCCTAGAGGAGAGCAACTTTGGGAAGCCAGGAAAATGACTTAATTCAGAACGTGGAAAACAGCTGTTGAAATGTGACAGGCCACTCATGCAGTAAGATAAAAAGCAGAGATTTATCTGCCTGCCATCATCTCCAGTAACACTCTCCAGCAATCAATGCAGGAAGTGGGAAACTCTCCCCATCACCTCAGTGACAGCTACTCCATCTCCCTGCTCAGAGCAGCTAGAGCTAGTTAAAAGTTAACCTTAAAGCACCCCCGCCCACCACCAAAAGGGCAAATGGCAATTTACTCTTCCAGAAAAAAAAATCCTCTGGGCCATAGAACTGTAAACAGAGTCCTGTTGGCTGGTGACCACGTTCTCTCACCACGCATAAGTTGTGGGGTCGGAAAGAAAGCTCTGGGACTAGCAACTTGTGCTCAAACCCACCTTTGAAATCCTGTATCCTCTTCTGAACAGGCTTCCTGTGGAAAATGCACACAAGAGTCCTTAACTGAAGACAAACACCCAAAGTTTGCTTTGAAGGAAAGGTGAGGCATGTGGCTTTGCAGAGACTAGCGCTTCTGTGGGGCAAAGTCGGATTTTCCTCTCTTTGGGTCATAATTTTTATTCCTTCCTTCACGTTTTCATATTGAGCCAACGAGTTCAGTGCAGGCACGTACGGGCACATGGGCAAGGGTTACTTGCTGGAGCGTGGGTGACTCAAAGTCAGCCGTATCCCCAGGAAGCCAACCTCAGGCTGGGAGTTGGATGACTGGTGACAACTGCATCCCCGGTATTCCCCCGCCCAACTGCAGGCAGCTCCATGAAAGTGTCTCCTCTCCTCAAGCAGTGACTTCGTGTCATGTTGTGGCAGTATAGGGGTTTTTATACTAAACACTTACCAGAATCCATTCACTGTACAGCAGCGACGGGTTTCATAAAGGTGTACTCACCCATCTGTCATGCACTCCAGCCATCAGCTGTATTCACTCTCATCCTTCCTCAGTGCCCTCCTGCTAGTCCTGCTCTATCACCCAGACAGTGTCTCAACTTTCACGCCATGTGACCATATTCAACCTCCGGAGTCAGCCTCTACTCCCCAAACCTTTGCCCACCCCTCCCCAGTCTCCTTTCTGAGTTTGGGTTTTATCATTTTATGGACCTGCTTTATAATCTAGGATCCTCAAATGAGAGAAAACAGGTGGCTTTAGTCTCTTTGGTGCTGGCTCATTTCACTTAACACCAAACTCTCCGTTTGGATCCATTTTCCAGCAAAGGACATAATTTTCTTTGTATGCCTGCATAAAAACCACACTGAAACTACCTCCTGGGGCAGGCCAAAGTTCCTTTAAGACATCACCTGGCCTCTTGCACATCTGATCCTGAGGAACAGCTGCCCATCTCACTGGTATCAACTGCTGGATCCTTTGCTGCATTGAGAAGAAAGGGTTACACCTTTGTGAAAGAAGTGTGGTGTTCTCAACACCCCACATGGGAAACAGCTTCACTCTGGGATTGGTTGAGCCCATGGCCAACAACAGTTTTAAAATAGTCTTCCAGGAACCCATGCCCACACCCCACACCCCACACCCCACTCCCAACACAGGAGAAATGCAGCTCAGCCAGAGTCTGGGGACAGCAGGTACATGTATTTGTACAAGCCCTTCAAGGAAATTCACCGTGACCCATGGGCTTCTTCAGAGGCATGCTGGCCAGGACCAATGGCCCTGTGAGCCTTGCACTCCTGCCACAGGGTGAGAATATCAGGTGGGGACAGAAACCCAGAACATGCATGAGAATCAGATCTCAGCACCTGGATTCCCTCACCCCACCCCTGTAACCCCATAGAATGACCTGGTTAGTACCAGGCCACCCCTGCGCTTGTTCCCTCGGGGAGGCCCAGCCGTATATGCCCCATATCAGTTGTTACCGGGTGTGATTGCATCCGGGTTCTGGGAGTCATCTGATGGGAGATTCTGATCAACCCTTGGGCGCTTGGCACGTCTCTCCATGTCTTTCTGGTCCTTGGTTGACATGGCTTGGGGCCTTGCTGGGCTGCGCTGGGCTGGGCAGGACTCCTGAAATGATGGTGTGCACAATAAAGACACAGAGAAGAATTTCATGGCAGCAACGGAAACAGGGACCAGGACTCCACAGGCTGTGGCTATGTGTCCTGGCACTTGCTGTGCTGGAGCAAAGAGGCAGTGGCGGCGGGAGGAAGACACTGATATATACCACCACATCCAATCATATTCTGTGTGTGTGTCCCCCTCCTCCCCAGCCTTTTTTTTTTTTTTCTGGCTGAATGGCAGAGCTCTCCGCAAGCCCGTAGCCCTCAATCTCAGTCCTTTCTCCTGATTTCTTGTCCCCAGGATAGGACAAGCTTGGGCAAGCCCCCGGAGCAAGTGACCTAATGCCGGTGCCTAATCACAAACACCAACCCACTGATGGCCAGTGTGGTCACTGGAGCCACGTCTGGGCACTAACTGCTTGAACCCTGCTGCACACTCAGGTGAAATCCCTACCCACTCTCAGTCTGGATGTCTCAGAAGCAACTCAGGGACCCAGACATCTTGGGAAGACCCAAAGAATACACACAGGAGGCACTTGGGAACACACTCTCTGACACAGTTTCCCTATCCCCGGAATTTACAGAAGCACCCTTTCATAACGAGGCAGCCAACAAGACAATCCTATTCCAAGACCCTCCCCTCAGAACTCCCCTTCTCTTCAGAGGAAGGTAATACCTAGCCACTGCCCTCCTCCACAAACATGTTTTCTGATTGGCTGGAGCAGCACCTATGTATGCATGAGAAAGGCCCCAGCATATGGGCCCAGCTAGTGCACATACATGAGGTGTGTCTGGGGGAGGGGGCTGTGCCTGGCCTGGCCTGACCTGTGTGGTAGGTGATACAGGCTAGGGATAGGCACCCAGCAGGTGAATAGGCTTCATTCTGTCCCTGTATGAGGCCCCTCAGCAAGTCTACATACTTGCCTGTGGTGGACCAAACATCCATGGTTGAGGCCAATGTGTCACAGATGCACCCGTGGCCTGAGAGTATCATGCAAACTCATGAGGTGGGGCTAGGAGGTGCTCTTGCAACAGATGGGTCCAAGGGTGTCACGTGCCTGGCTCGGCCCCGGCAGTTGCCATGCATGAAAGGGCCCATCAGACATCACAATTGTGGACACACATCCAGTGTTGACCAAAGAGTAATCACGGGCAATGGGGACCTTCCATGTTCTCCCCCATTCCTCACTGTGTAACGCACACATCTGCTAGTACCTGCAGAGCCTGGGGTTCTGTCTAGGCCCTTGCAGAAGGGAGGTTTGCAGAAATCACCTCAACTAGGCAGGTCCCCGACACCCTGAGAACCCATTCTGTGCCACCACCAAGCACTGTGGATCCAGGATGACTCTGATTTTGTGACCACCAGAAACCCAGAACAGGGACCCACTCAGATTAGGTGATCATGCTTCAACCACATTCCCCTGAGAGCCTTCTTCCCGTCAGAGGCTTATCCCACCTGAGTAGACCCCACTTCCCTGAATGAAATGGGAGACCCACTCAGATTAGGTGATCATGCTTCAACCACATTCCCCTGAGAACCTTCTTCCCTTCAGAGGCTTATCCCACCTGAGTAGACCCCACTTCCCTGAATGAAATGGGTGGAGCAGCATGCAGGCCCGTGTGAACCTGCTCCAAGGTGCTGAAGGATGAGACCCAGCGACTGACTTGGATATGCAGCTGTACATGAGTGAGCTGGGAACTGCAGTAACAGGGCCTGGAAGAGACTGGACTTCCTTCACGAGAACACATGCTGTCCTGCCCACTCCTCCAGGGCCCTGTGGTCCTGACAAAGCTTTCTCAGATCTCCCCCCACCCCACCCCCTGCTTGCAGTCTGGTGCAGAAGTGAGGCTCCAGGCATCACCTCAAGGGCTACCCTGGGCCCTAATAACGAACTAATCACTCACCGAGGTAGACCTGCCTCACCCCTCTCCATCCCACCCCACCCCCACCCCGGAGACCCTCCTTCCACTCCAGAGCAGTCACACCTAGTTTAGTCCTCCCTTCCTGAACTTAAGACTCCCTGCTTCTGGAAGAGCAGGAAAGGCATGTAGGCAAGCGCCTGGCTAACCTTGTTCCACGGTGAGGTCCACCCAGAAACCATGGCTAGGGACTCAGGGCTTGCCGTTGAACGTGCCTGAAATGGGACCTGCACCATCAAGGGGCAGGCAAGGCCCAGAGCACCCTCTCTTTTCAGCGTGCCTGCCTGTCTAGCTCTCTCCCTGGACCAATGTGAAAAATACCCAAGGAGTACAAAAAGTGCCTCCTGGGAGGTCCCTAGTCCCTACCTACCCCAGCAGTCCAAACTGTCCTGGGCACTCACTCCCTAGGACCCTGCGGCCCCAACATAGCGTTTGTCAGATTGGTCAATGCGGCCTCCTCCAGTCACATTCGGAAGGGAGGCTCTGGACATCATGCGCTATCCTCGGGCCCCATACCTCGTCACAGACCTAGGTGGACAGGACTCACGATGATCCCCAGAGACCCTCCTTACCCGCGAAGGTGGGTCACATCTAGCTAGACTTCCCAGAAAGTAAGCATCATCGCTCCATCTGGCAAAGCAGGCTTGTGACTGACTGAGTGACAGGCAGGGCGGCGGAGGCCGCAGAGGTGGAGGAGCCGGAGGCCCGGCAGGGGTGGGAATTGAGACTGTGCCTGCATGAACGTAAACTTTCGAGAACCTGAAACTGCGTGAACCAGAAACTGCGCAACTAAGGCCTAGAATGTCCCGGAACGCCCACAACCCTGTTTTAAATGGTCCCACCCGTGGAAGTACGGGCCGGGAGAATGTCTGGAGTATGCGGAGAAGGTCCCTAGACACTCCACCAGCACACATGCGGTCCTGCTCAGTCCTCTCAGCCCCTGTGGCCCTGACAAACCTTTCCCAGACTGTCCTCCCTCCGGGGCCTTTTCCAATCCGATGGGTAATTGAGGCTCCGGAAGTCACCTCATGGACTACAGTGGCTTCCAATACCTAGTTGCTCAGCTAGGAGAGTACGCCTCACAGCATTCCGCCCGCCACAAACCACTCTCACCCTCGAGGGCAGTCAGGGCTGGAGAGACCTCGCTTCCCGGAACTGTTCCCGCCTTGGAAAACGTTTGCGCATGCGTGACCCAGGCCAGCCCCGCCCCTATCCTTGCTGAGGCCTACGGGGCACTCACGCATGCGTACTTGGGTGTTCGGGTTGCGCATGCGCATCCGAGAAACCGCTCGCTGTATTAATGCTTGCGAGGACCCGAGGACCCACACCCCTCTTTGGAATATGTCCACCCGTGGACATATGGACCAAGAGGACATCTGAAGTGCCCAAAGACCTCAGAAAGGGCCATGTGGAAGGTCCCTAGTCTTTCCCCAAGCGTGCGCGCTGCTCGGTCCACTCCTCCGTCCCTCACAAAGCCTTCCTAGACTTTCCTCCTGGGGCTTAGTCCACTCGGTGTGGAACTTAGGAGCCAGACATCACCTCAGGGAATATCCTGGGTCCTAATACCTGGCCACTCACCTAGAGGAACAGGCCTCAGGACAGCGGCCCGAAACCCTGCTTCCGTTCGACGACGCTCACAGCTAGTTAGTCCTCACTTCCGGAAAATAGTGGGGCCGCCACTTGGGCGCATGCGTGCGCCTGTCCAATCCTTTTCCTTGCCTAAGCCCAGCTGCAATCATGCAGGCGTGGACAGGAAGTTGCACTTTAAGGCAGGGGAGGACAGGAAACGCCCCTGCTCCTGTTTTAATTAGGCACAACTGTGGACATGTGGACCCAGATAAATGTCTCCTGTGCCCAAAGACTTCAGAAAGGGCCACAGCGTGGGTCCCTAATCCTGCTGCGACCACAACACATGCTGCCCTGTCCTGCCCACTCTTCTCAGTCCCTGCTTCGTATCAAAGCTTTCCCACAGGGCCCTTCCTGGCCTCCCCCACTCCACTGTAGAATTCAGGCTGCGGATGATATCACCTCAGGGATTATCCTGGGTCCCAATACCTAGTCACTCACCTATAGGGACACAGGTCACCACAATCCTCAGACCCTCTTGCTCTCCCACAGGGAGTCCCAGGTATGCCTCACTTCCAGAAAGTGTTGCATACCTCTGTGGAAAACCATGTCTGCATAGGTGAGCCTGGCCATCTTGAGGCCCACCCCGTAATAAGGCATACTGGACTTGGAGCTTTAGGTCGTGCATGCATAAGCTAGGAACTCACCTAGGGAGGGCTGAGAGTGCCAGGAACACCTCTGCTCCCTGCTTGCAATGCTTCAACATGTACAAGTATAGACCTGTTCAGAATGGCAGGAATACCAGAAGGGTACTGAAAGGGCCATGGAGAAGGGCCCTAGTCTCTGCAGGGGCAAGCCCCCCCCCCCCCCCCCCGCCCTGGCTTCCCTCAGACCTTCACAAAGCTCTCCCAGGAAGCCCTTCTGGCCCCTGTCCACTCCAGGGTGGAAGTGAGGCCCATGGCATCACCTCATGGGCCCTAACACCTACTCACTCACCTATAGACATGCTTCCTGACAGTCACCAGAGACCCTCCTTTTCCAGGGTTAGTCCTCACTTCTGGAAACTAACAGTGCTGGCCTCTCTAGAGAAACAGGCAAGCATGCATGACACTAGCTGAAGGTGCCCCTAAGGGACACCCATCCAGCAATCATGCGAGTGTAACTTGGGGCTTGTAGTGGTTCAGGCTTGACTCATGTCTGTGGTGGCACATGTGAATCTGACCTTAGGGAATGCAGGAAACAAACAATGACAGCAGTTAACTCGACCCTACCTGTGCATGCGCACACACGCACACGCACACACAGACACACACAGACACACACACACACACACACACACACACACACACACACAGAGAGAGAGAGAGAGAGAGAGAGAGAGAGAGAGAGAGAGATAGTTACTTGACTATTTAGGAAGGAAGTTAAGAACCACTGTTACCCATAGGAAGAATCCCAAGTCCTTGCTGCTGTGGGGATTTGCAATGCTGTATCTACTGAGGGGAGTACCTTTGTGTTCATCAAAATGGGTAAAGTTACATCAGCCCATCACACAGTCATTCCACCACTTGGTATGGGCCGGTCCCCTGAATAGAAGCATTTGAGAAAATATAGGTACACAAAAGCTCGTGGCAGCCCTGGTCACAGTGGGAAAGTCCCAAATTACTCTCTCATAATAAAGAGATACACAGAGCATAGCACATGAGCACAACACAATACTTACCCAGCCCTGAGAGGAATGCACTGCCCCCCGCCCCATGAACGTCGGGAGTATTATAAGTGAAATGGGTCAGGCAAAAAGCATGTTCTGTAATGTCCCATGTATGTGCTGTGAGCAAAGTAGAAAAACCCTGAAGAGGCGAACTTTCCAAAATGGTGTCATCTAATTGGATGAGAAAACATCCTACTAGATGCAGGGAAGGGTGCATGAAGTAGTAGGCATGCCTTGAGGCAGCTAAAAGGAACACAGTTTCCTCTCTCTGTGTCGCTGTCTCTCTGTCTCTCTGTCTCTGTCTCTGTGTGTTTGTGTGTGTGTGTGTCTGTGTGTTTGTGTCTCTGTGTATGTGTGTGTGTGTGTGTGTGTGTGTGTGTGTGTGTGTGTGTGTGTGTGTGTGTGTTGATTTGAATGAGATAGCCTCCACAGCCTGAGGCTTTCGAATACTCGTTTCCTAATAGATGGCACTGTTTGGGTTTGTTGGGAGTGTGGCACTGAGGGAGGAAATATGCCACTGTGGGTGGGTTTTGAGGTTTCCAAAGCCTCCTGCAATTTGAAGTTTGCTCTCTCTCCTTCCTGCTTGGGATTAGAGAGGGTTTTTTTTTTGGGGGGGGCATGGTGTTGCCACTTGAATTCCTGCAGGTCTACGGTCCTCCATATTTTCTGCCCAAACACTTATTTACATCTGGAGAAACAATCTGCCTGGCTTCAGAATTCTGACAGGTGTAAGGGTGATCTTCTGACATCTGGCCCCCACGTCATCTTATTATATTAGAAGGCAGAAAGGAGCCCGTCATCTCCTGTCTTGCCTTGTCTCAGACCCTCTGTGGTCAAAGCCCCTGCACGAAGACCCCCTGGGCCCTGGAATGGCAGCATCACCTTCTGTAGTATGTGTGTGCGTGCTTATTTTCTTTCATGCATGCAGCTGCAGGGGATTGGCAGAGGTGGGGGTGGGGACGACTAGGTGACAGGGATGTAAGTGAACAGTCAGCCTCCTGGGTGGATTACTACTTCCTGATTTCCACAGAGAACTGGCTACTAGGAGAGAACGTTTTTCCGATGACACTGTGGTTGCCATGACAACGGGGACAAGCCATTCTTTCCTGGTTACAGATACATTTGCGAAGGATACTCAGACTGGAGAGGTGGAATCACTAGACAGACATGCAAAGCGCGTAGGTAGGTGCCTGCAGCCAGCCTGACTGAGTGGGAGCTGAGCCTGTGAGTGTGCCTCGGGAGCGTGCTTGCTCTTTCATGGGACAGGAGAGGTTCTCACTACTACTCTTTGAAGCGAAGCCCCAAGGACTGGCTGCTCAGCCAGCCCTGTCTCTTTGTCCTCAGGTGACACCTCTTTGGTGCCAGCTTCATCGTTTCAGGCCCTGAAAGCATAGATCACCAACCCACGTAAATGGATGCCTCGTCTCTGTTTGGCTATGATTGTCACATGGGCTCCTGACCGTGTTCGTGTGACAGCACCTTACCCGAGATAGTTGTGGCTTGTGTTGTCTGAGAGAGAGAGACAGAGAGAGAGAGAGAGAGAGAGAGAGAGTAGGTAAACGGGGAGGGGGGTGAGGACTGCCATTTCCCTTGGAGGGATGAAGAGACTGGAGACCTGACAAGACATGCCTCCAAAAGAGGGCTGCCTCTAAACAGGTCACTAATCGAAACTGGGCAGACTGAGGTAAAACCAGTGTGGTATGAACGTCTGAGGAAGGGGCAGAGTTTGTTCCCTCGACAGCTATTAGTTTGTGTCAGGGCCTGAGTCTTTACTCCACTCACGGTTGGGTTAAGCATCAGCTAGCTGGGCCTTACAGGATGAGCAGCTGGGGTTTCTCTCTGACCCGCCAGCACATCATGTGGATCTCTCTGGGTATCTCTGCCCCTGTGAGCGAGCAATATTCGTTGTACCCTTCTTGCACCCTCTCATCAGACTGTCCCCCGTCTGTCTGTCTTACTGCCACAGGGAGGGAAGCCATCTGGAAGTTCCCATCTGGAGAACATATGAATAAACCTGGAACACGGGGATTGCGTGCAAGTTCTTGATAGAAGGCCTTCAGGCACGGGGCCAAGGCATGTGCTGAGATGGAGATTTCAGGATTCCATCTTGCACACTTCTCCATTCACCTCTGGGTAAGATAGTGCTGTTTTCATCGGAAAGGTAACTGTTGAAGGTAGTGCACTGGAGGAGATGCCTGAAACGATGGAGGCAGAAGGCAATACTGACAATATTTAAGCAGGCTGTAGAAAATGTAAGGACTTTTCTATGCCCTGGAGCAATAGGCGTGACAGATGGGATACACACACTGGGGAGAGTGCGGCCTGATATGAATGCAGACACTTTTCTTTATGACCGGGTTACAGATGCTGCATGGATGCCTTGGGCTTGTGGGCTTGAACACATACTTGGTATTCCCAGGGATGCTTTCTAACTCAGGAAGTGTGTGAGGCTGAGGACATCATGCTTGAGGCAAGCAGAGGCGCATGCAGGCCTGCCTGGGGTGGAAAGCTTGCATTCTGTAAGTGTAACTAGGGCATCTGTGGTTTCTAAGGGCAGCGAGTGAGGGGTGGGCTCTCTCGTGCCTGAAGCGTGGTGCCTGGATATGGGGGCATAGTTGAGCTTAATGGTGCTCGTTCAGCCTTGCTGGAGGGCGTGTGAGAAGAAGGTCCAGCAGAAGGCAGCCGCAAGTCACCGAGGCACCTATGTTTTCCTCAGGAGACAGCTGTGACCCAGGACTCCAAGGGGGCTGGATCAGAGGATCACACAGATTCCTCAGAGGAAGGATTACTATGGGTGATCCCGAAATTGGGCCCCAGACCTCCACAGTACACATTTGGTATTGCATCACCGAGCAGGTGTGGCCTGGACAGACCTAGACTCCTTTATGTAGATAGCCACTTTGTGCACTGTGACATCCGATTTGAAGTCAGAAAGTCTTGAATGGGAATACGGCAGAAGGGGCACTGCACATTTGCACAGTGAATAGGGAGCTTTAATGTACCGATGGGTGTTTATGGATGCAGAGAGTGGGAAGGGGAGGATTGAGGTAATGATGAGAATATCATTTGCCTCCCATATTTCTGTACAGTTGGGAACTCCTATGGATAAGGACTGAAGTCGCTAAGGGAGAGCTCGGTGGGCCCTCACTCACAGAAGGGATGTGGGGTAACTTTTTGGGAGTCCCCAAGAAGAGCAGTTTGTCCTTAGGAAGCTGTGTCAGGAGCTCAGAGTCCACAGTGTTCTGCCTCACTGTGCCTGGTAATGACAGGAGCCACCAGCACCCTGGCACGAATGGTGAGCAGCTGTGGCACATGAGCCCTTCCTGGTTCTTCCGTGTTGTGGTCCTTCAAAGACCGTGGTCCTTCTCGGCAAGCACAGTGGGCCTCTTTTGAGGGTCAGACAGATGTGGGCTTTGCTCCCCGCATGCATGCATGACATGCACACTGCTGATAGGAAACCATGGCCCCAAGGCAAGAGCAGCCAGGAAAGGAGTAGACCACCGACACACACCCGGTCACAGTGAAGAGAAGAAAGGGATGAGATTCCACTGAGCAGCACAAGGGGAAGGAACTATGTGGAGAGGCAGAGCATGGAGGAACATGAACAGGAGAGCTACACTACAGATGACATTGGACACCACTTCCGATTCAAAGCATGCCCTCTGGACTTGTGGATGGACAAGTGATGAACCAGGCCAACAAGTAGCTGCTTTGATTTCCTGTCTATCTAAGACTTTGTGGATTAACATTAGGACACAGAGGTTGTGGGCAGGAGAGTTCTGTGGCCTGGGATCTGTTGGTAGAGCAGTGCCCATCACAGACAGATGTGGGTGTGTAAGGTCTGTGGACTTGAGGTTGCGGCAGGAGGATGGGCAATTCCAACAGAGACACTTAACCCTGCCGCTCTCCATCTGACACTCCTGGGTCTGCCAATTGGTAAGCATTTCTCCACGATGAGGTGCTTTCTTTCAGGGGCTCTCCTTTGGGCCATGTGGACACTTGATCCCACAGTGAGGTCCAGGATGGAGTTTGGAACAAGGAATCTGAAGCAAGATATGTGGCCCTGGGGTGGGGGGTGGGTGGGGGCGGGGATGCAGGAAGCTATGACAGTGACAGCAACCATCCTTACTTGCCATGTTGTGTGCATCACCATGAAGATTTCCCCACCCACTTGCTCCTCCTCAACCTGGTATCTATCTCACTGGTGTGGAAGGCAGCGGTGCACTAGGTGTCCATGGGCTTCCTGGAGGTGAGGCAGGGTGGGATTAGCTCCCTAGGAAAGAGAACAATGAGGCTCCCCCATTCCCCGACATAATCCCAGGGAGCCCCAAGGACCAGGCTGGGCAAGAAAATACACAGGCCATCTAAGTAAAGACACTCACCTCTCCAGGAGGAAGTTCACCACCCCAGCCTCAGGGTGGGCAACCGTGTGTTACACACCTGCTCTGGATCCTTCCATATCTTCTCCCCCACACACCCTCACCTCTGTAGAACAGACTTTGTGTACTCCCTTGCTTTCTCTCTCCTCACCTCATTGAGCTGTTGCTTCTGTGTCCACTAAAGGCGAATTCCCTCCTGATGCAGCTCTGCTTTCCTCTCCCCAGCCACAGGATACGCCCACGTCACCCTGAGCTAGGACGTCAATTCAAGCTTGTCTACCAGATTCTGGAAGGAGGATAGCACTACAGGCAGGTCACAGACGACCAGCAGTCACAGAGCCCACCACAACCAAGGGAGCAACCCTGTCCTGATCAGCACAGCTCCAGAGTCCCATCACCATGGACTCTGCAGAGTATGTGCTCTGTAGCTGGAAGGGCCAGATGTGGCCTGCACGGGTGTTATCCAGACCCAGGACCTCATCCCACAGTAAGAGGAGAGGGGCATCTTTCCTGGAGGTCCAGATTCTGCCTGTGGGAGAGAAGACGAGAGTGAGGAGCACAGAGGTGAGGCCCCTAACCAGGTCTGAAATTGTAACCATCGCCTCCTTGGCAGGAAAGGAGTCACAGGGTAATGGCTCGCCACGGCAGACCAGGGCATACAGAAGAGCCCTCAAGGTGGCACTGGATGTCCTGGGCGAGGGAACCTGCTTGCATCAAAGAGGAAGGGCAGGTGGCCAAAGAAGAACCAGCACAGCGACTCTGAAGGTTCCAGAAGAGCAGGCCAACTCCAGCTCACACCAGCGCCTGCACCTCCAAGAGCACAACCAGAAAGGCCAAGGGCTCTCCCACCGGAGTCCTGGGAAGCGGGGCCGCCTGGGACCTGTGTTGATGGGCTCACAGAATGAGCCTGCAGTGCAAGGGGGGAAAGCCCAGGCACACACTGCTGTTGGGCCCCCTCACTTTGAAATGCAAGGGAACTTGTTAAGAGGCACTAGATTGTGGCCAAGTTCCTACAAGCCACCAGCAGGAAATGCTGGTGATAATCCCAACAAGAGAAAGCTGAGCACATCCAAGCTCAGGTCTTTGAGCACCCCAGCCTCCAGGGAGGGTGCCCGGGCTAAAAACGAGCAGCAGGCTGCCTCCGGGCCACCGAGACATGCCTCTACCTCGCCCAAAGCTCTCCAGCAGCAAGTACGGTGTGGAGGCCTGGAGATCAGGGCTATTGGAGCCCAAAGGAAGACCACCCTCCCAGAGAACAAGCAGGACCCCGGCCCTAGAACCCCAAAGCCAGACTCAAAGGGGGCATCGGCAGCCTGCACGCCTCCAATCCCGAGGCTGCGAAGATCAGTCCGCATTGCTAGCAGGAAAAGGAAGGTCCATGTGCTGTGTGCACAGTGCATGCTGCCAGATCTGGAAATTCCAGTGCACTCAAAGGTGACTAGCACCAGGGGCAAGAGGAGAGTGGCTGGAGTTGAAGAAGTCTGCCAAGCCACCAACGTGGCTTCTGCCCAGGGGCCAAATACCATCGAACGAGGGATGCTGGTCTGGTTCAAATTCCAGGACCTTCCTTTCTGGCCAGCCGTGGTCAAGAGTGTCAACAAAAACGACAAGATGGCGAGGGTGCTGCTGATCGAGGGCAACATGCAGTTTGAGCACAAGGGTGTCCGAGTCCCTCTCCGAAAGCTGAAGCACCTGGACTGTGGGGAGAAATCAGTGCTCCTGAGGAGAGCCAGCAGAGTGTATGGTCAGGCCATCAACTGGTGCCTGTCAGTGATCAACCACTACAGAGAGGTCCTCGCCTGTGGCTCCTTCCTGGGCTCCTTTATGGATTACTACACCGCGCAAGCCAGTTACCCGCTAAGGAGAGCCATCCAAGAGGGGGACCTGCACATTGATTTCCCCAAGGTGAGCTATGCAGACTTGGAAGATTGGGAGGAGGAGACCGCCCTGGGTGGGAAGGGGCCCCGTAAGAAACTCCTGCCTGACCGCATGAGGGCCGCTTGGGACAGAGCCAACCAGAAGCTCGTAGACTTCATCGTGAAGAGAAAGGGGGCAGACCAGCACCTGCTGGACATCGTAAAGGGCAGGAAACCGTCCAGGTGGCTGGACAACCTTTGGAAGTCAAAGAGGGAAGTCTTCTGCATTGAGACCTACCTGGAGGACGAGGACCAGTTGCATCTCGTGGCCAGACATTTGCAAGAAATATCCAACGAAGCAGATGAGGCCCTGCTCTCCCTGGCAAGGGGAGACAAAGTCCGATTTACCATGGAGGTTCTTCTTCCAGAAGCTATCATCTGCTCCATCGCTGCCCTGGATGAGCTTAGCTACAAGGAGGCAGAAGAGAAGTACCTGCGTGGCCCACCTGTGCACCATCGTGAGAAAGAGCTCTTTGATAAGACCATCCTAAAGGCGGCCCGGAAGAGGTCAGCAGCCAGGATTTGGGCCGCCAAGGACCCCTCTGCACCCATTCCTTAGAAGGGAGCTTCCTTCTTTCAGCCATCACCCCTGCAGCTCCGCCTCCAAAAGAGGACCACCTGGGAGACTGCGGGGCTTGAAAGATCCTCACGGTATACGTGTTTCTCCCGCCCTCCTCCCCCCCCCCCTCAAAATAAATTATCACATCCGTGCTTGATGGTGCAGATGTCTCGATCTGCTTGACAATTCCTGTTAGTTTCAGGCCAGGTCTAGCCTTCTTCGGCCTGTGCCCAAGTGCAGAGAAGTCCCATAGGGGTGCCTCTCTGGAACATGGCCAGCCGTGGGTGGAGTATTAGCTAGCTACGCACAGCCTTACACTCGATGCACGGAGCCCACACACTCAGACAGCACACCACATCCCTGATGACACTGTGTCTTGTGTCTCTGACTGCCCCCATACTTCCTGTCCTCTCTAGGGTACTATGGGTGGGGCCAGGGTTCCACTGTTTTCTCCACTATCTCACGTTCTTTGCTCATTCACGATGTTGAAGGAGAGGAACAGATGTGTGCTTTGCAGCCAAAGAAGGGGTTGGAAATGTGTGACCCTGGAGATAGCAGATTTCAAAGAACTCTCTCTCTCTCTCTCTCTCTCTCTCTCTCTCTCTCTTGTGTGTGTGCATATGTAAGAGAGACAACGTGTGTGCGTGCGCGTGCGTGCATGCTTGCACAAGTCATAAGTCAGAATCATAAGTCACAATCTCGTATCTTCTTCAGTTATTCCCTCTTTATTTTTTGAGACAGGACCCCTGGAGCTGTGGCTCACTGATTGTGCTAGAATGACTTAGCCAGGCAGGACTTTTTATTTGTTTATTTTGGCCTGGCTCTGAGGTGCTGAGATTACAGATACCTCTCCATATACCCCCCCTTTTTTTTAAAAGTGTGTACTGGGTAATGAACTCATGTTTTCTCCAGTTGTAGGAAACACTTCATATTTTCAGCCATTGTCCACTCCCCAGAGACTTCATACTCTTAATGAGAATGATTTGCCAACCTCATGGGATGACTCTTTGCAGTAGACTTCATTTTCTACCCAGCAACATTCATAGGAAAGCCACCAAATAACAAACACTCCAAGGGACTGGTGGCTTATGTGTGGCTGCCTGTACAGCTAAAGGATCTTAAGACAACTTAAAGAATCAGTTGTCTCATATGGTCTTCATAGCCCATATGTAAAACAGTTATTACAAGATGACTCCATGCAGCATACGTCAGTATACCAGCTTTTGTCACATTTCAGAGATCAGAGACTTCTGATGTTTGCAGGAAAGGGAGGGGACCTATCATTCCTTGGGTCACTGACACTTGGGGTATACTGATGAGAGGCAGCCCTGCCATACCTCCTTATTACATTCATGGGCCACCTTTAACTGGGTGACACCCTGAGATTGGGTAGGACTGGTGTCAGCTATACTTTAGAATTCTTGTCAAATCGAATGGAAGACATTGATCAGAGAGGAGAGAAAGCTTTTTGAGCGTCAAGCCATTGGGGACAGTCTTGATGTGCCTCTGAAAAATTCCTAGGAGAAGCTATTCATGCTGATCCACAAGTTCAGGCTGAATCTGACGACCATATGTTGTCCCTATGCAGGAAAGCAGCACTAAACGCATGGGATAAGGTTCGTGAGCCAGGGGAAAGACTGTAAGCTTATGCCAGAATAGAGCAGGGACCAACAGAACTATTCAAGGACTTCTTAGACTGGTTCACCACAGCAGTAGAATTGCAAGTAACAGATCCAGCAATAAGACATTCGATTGTGTATACATGAGCTTATGACAATGCAAACCCAATATGCAAAAGAATACTTTTGCCTTTAAAGATCAGATCAGCTCCACAAGAAGAATGGGTTTGCATACTGCCCACATTGAGTATAATGTGCAAGATGCTGGAATCTGGGAAGAAGAAGCTAACCCAATTGGTTTCAAAAGGCAGCAGGAGATTAAGAGCCCCAGAGATGATAACAGAAGGGTTTGGGAAGGACACATTACAGGGATTGATATAGGTACCAAGAGGCCAGGGTTCATCACTACTATGAACCAGAGCCTCAGGCAGGAAGAGCCCAGTCCAGGAGACCACGGAAGTGTCAGTAACCTAGATGTTTCATCTGTGGTAGAATGGGGCATGTAAGGAGAAATTGTAGGCAAAGAAATTCTAAGGATCCCTCATGCAAAAGGCCACTGCCTTCTGTATTGTGTTTGAGATGTGGTAAGGGCTAATGTGTGTAGATCGACCAGGGACATACAAGGGAACCCATAAAGGCTAGGAAACACTGAAGGCAACTCAAGAAGGCCCCCACATCAAAAAAGATCTGGTCATTTCCAGTAACTTGTAGAAGACAATCTCTCACAGGACAAATAGATAGTTCTTTGTCTATTGTGAAAGATGACAATGCCATAGATGACAGTTTGGCTAGTGATGAAGAATCAGATAGGACTGGACAAGACGAAAAGTGCATATTTTGGCAGACCTCAATCAAAGATAGAAGACCTCACTTAAAGGTACAAATTAATAATAAAATTATTAACGGCATATTAGACATGGGCGTGGACATTACTATTATTACCCACAAGTCCTGGCTGAAGGACTGGCCACTTAGGGAAGTGAATGTAAAATATTTGGGAATTGGAACACTATCTAGAGTTTAACAGAGTGTTCGCTCGGTGGTCTGCATTGGACCGGAAGGACAGAAAGGGAGACTGAAACCTTACGTGGCAAATATAGCTATAAACCTCTGGGGTCGTGATCTCTTCTTACAGCAATGGAAAAGTTAAATTAACATCCCTCCAATGTCAGATACAAATTATGTACAGTCGCTGGATAGTAGGAAGGATCGTGTAAGACGCTATGGAAATAGTTACCAACCATCCAGGTTGTACAGAAATTAAATACAAATGATTGACCTTCAGAGTAACCAAAGGCCCTGCCATTGAAGTGACTTACGGATGAACCTGTCTGGATAGGGCAATGGCCTTTGACCTCTGAGAAGCTAGAGGCTTTAGAAAAATTAGTATAGGAACAGCTAGAGGCTGGACATATAGAGGAGTCTACCAGCCCTTGGACTTCTCCTGTATTTGTTATCAAAAAGAATTCAGGTAAGTGGAGAATGCTGACAGACCTGAAAGCCATAAATAAGGTAATTCAACCTATGGGCTCTCTACAGCTTGGAATGCCATTGCCTTCCTTAATACCTAAAGGATGACTGATCATAGTAATTGACCTGAAAGACTTTTTTCACTATACCATTAAAGAAAGTGATAGAGAGAAATTTGCATTTACTGTACCAACTCTTAATAACTCACAGCCAGTTCAGAGATATCAGTAGAAGGTTTTACCTCAAGGGATGCTAAATAGTCCTACTTTGTGTCAACACTTTGTACAACAACCTTTGGAAATAATTCATAAGAAATTTTCACAATCCCTCGTTTATCATTACATGGATGATATTCTTTTATCAGATTCCAATAAGGAAACTTTGGAATGTATGTTTGACGTGGTAAAAGAAGTTCTGCCTAGATGGGGGTTACAGATTGCCCTGTAAAAGATACAAAGAGGAGATTCTATTAACTATTTAGGATATAAGATAGACTTACAAAGAATCAGACCACAGAAGGTACAAATTAGAAGGGATCGTTATCAAACTCTTAATAGTCTTCAGAAGCTGCTAGGAGAAATTTCTCAATTACAGACAATTATTGGGGTAGAAGGACATGAATTAAAGCATTTTAAAATGGCTCTTAAAGGTGACAAGGAGCTAAACAGTTCACGGATATTATCCACTGATGCAGAAAAAGAACTACTATGGGTAGAAAATAGAATATTGGATACGCATGTAGATTGGATAAACCTTGATTTAGATTGTATTCTGGTCATCTTGCCATCCAGAGAATACCCTTCTGGAATTCTGATGCAGAGGGAAAACGCCATATTGGAGTGGATATTTCTGCCACATAAACAGAATAAAAAGTTAAAGACATATATAGAAAAGATTTCTGATTTGATTTTAAAGGGCAAATTAAGACTTCGTCAACTGACTGGAAAAGAATCTTAAGAACTCATAGTACCTTTAACTAATGAAGAAATTTCCTCCTTGTGGAAGGATCATGAATATTGACAAATAATTCTTACTGACTTTTTGGGAATGATTAACAACAATTATCCCCAAACTGACAGAATTAAATTCATAAAAAAACCAGTCTGGATTCTTCCACGTATTGTGAGACAAACTCCCATTTCTGGAGTTCTTACCTTCTACACTGATGCCAACAAATCAGGTAAGGCTGGTTATAAAGCAGGTGAGGTAAGTAAAGTAGTTCAAAGTCCATATACATCTGTACAGAAGGCA